AAAATAAAAGATCTTATTTTAGTGGGAATACAGACAATGGCTATAAACAATAATGGAAAAATGACTCATAAGTGAAATTTAAAGTGATTACCTTAAAGATCAGTAACATTCTTAACCATTGATTTGACAAAGGCATAAAACAAAATTTTACAAAACTGTACTTGCAGCTACACAGACATTTCTTTTTTCTTTGCTTTTAAAGTCTTAGCTCCTGTGTATTTGGGAGAATACGGTTTTGGTTTCAGCACTTGATCTCTACTTGGTTTTCTTTGCTTTCTGTGCTGACTCTATCTGTCCATACATTGTAGAAGAGGAAAGACAAGCACCTGTATCTTTGCTTCATGTTTTATTTTTTAAGTGAATGATTCTAACATGTTACTGGTAAATACAGTATTTGCTTTGAGTTTTTCTTTTTTTTTGTTATTTTTTAAAGATTTATTTATTTTTATTGGAAAGGCATATATACAGAGAGGAGGAGAGACAGAGAGGGAAATCTTCCATCCAATCATTTACTCCCCAACTGACTGCAATGACTGGCGCTGCGCCGATCCGAAGCCAGGGTCCAGGAACTTCTTCTGGGTCTCCCACATAGGTGCAAGGTCCCAAGACTTTGGCAGTCCTTGACTACTTTCCCAGGCCACAAGCAGGGAGCTAGATGGGAAGTGGAGCTGCCGGGATTAGAACTGGCATCCATATGGGACCCCAGCACTTCCAATGAGAGGACTTTAGCCGCTAGGCCACTGTGCCAAGCCCAAGTTTTTCTTTTCTTTTTCTTTTTTTTTTTTAAAGATCTATTTATTTTTATTGGAAAGGTCGATGTACAGAGAGGAGGAGAGACAGAGAGGAAGATCTTCTATTTAATGATTCACTCCCCAAGTGACCGCAATGGCCAGTGCTGCGCCAATCCGAAGCCAGGATCCAGGAACTTCTTCCAGGTCTCCCATGTGGGTGCAGGGTCCCAAAGCTTTGGACCTTCCTTGACTGCTTTCCCAGGCCACAGGCAGGGAGCTGGATGGGAAGTGGAGCTGCCGGGATTAGAACCAGAGCCCATATGGGATCCTGGTGCATTCAAGGCAAGGACTTTAACCACTGTGCTACCGTGCTGGGCCCTGAGTTTTTTCCTTTTTATAGTTTTCTTTTTTACAATCAGTTAGGCCATTTGTAAATTGCTGTCTGGTAAATTAAGTCTTTTGCTTTTAATCTACACATGTTGGGTTTTTTTTTTTTTTGCAGAAACTCACAAGTCTTGTTATTTGGAATCTCTTTTTCAGGAATGTAGTGTAGCTCTCTGTTTCTCTAGGTCCTTAGCAATAACTTTTCAGTAATTTGAGGGTTGTTTGTTTGTTTTCACCATTAAAGTCTACAGCATCTTTTGCTAGGGTCATTCTTGTTTGTTGTATCTATAGATGCTGTTATACACAATCAATCTTAACTGTCACTGTGACTTTAACCTTTCCCTGCCTCCCTCCCTCGCTCCTCCCTTCCTTTTTTGCTCCCTCCCTTCCTTCCTGCATCCTCTACTATCTTGCTCACTTTCTTACCTCTCAGCTGTGTATTTGGGCAAATGCTCTGTAGGTTTTACTCAGCATCTCTGTCTATCTGCACCAGTTTTTCAGATCATCCAGACAAGCTGTCTCAACCTCAGCTCTGTGGACACTGTTGGCTGCATAATTCTTGGCGGTCAGGGATGTGTGTGGTGGGATGTTCAGCAGCAGTTCTGGTCACTCTGCACTGGGTGCCAACACCTAGGCATGAGAGCCAACAACACTCCCGGACATTGTCACTTGGTCCCAGAGCAGTAAAAATCTCCCTTGGGTGAAAACCTTTGATCTGGCCTGTCACAGCACAGAACTTTCCCTTATTTCCTTGGACTAATTATAAGTTTTTTTTTTTATTTGAGCAATCTTTGTTTTGTTTATTTGAAATGCGGAATTACACAGAGTGAGGGAGAGACAGAAAGACGTACCATCTGCTGATTCCCTCCTCAAACAGCTGTAACAACTAAGGCTGGGCTAGGCTGAAGTCGGGAGCCAGGAGCTTCATCTGTGTCTCCTACTTGGATGCAGAGAGCCAAGCACTTGGACCATCCTCCACTGCCTTCTTAGGTGCATCAGGGAGCTGCGTGGGGACTGAAGCAGCTGGGACTTGAGCCAGCACCTGTATGGGTTGTGGGCTTCTCAGGCTGTGGCTTTACCCACTACACCACAACGCTGACCAAGATACTATTATAAGTTTATTTCAGATGTAGATTCCTCGACGTGAATACTGTTTGCTTTGTCTACTGTCATGGTGATCTCTGTTTCTGTGCGTAGTCATTTTTAAGCATGAGCCTACCTCCAGTGAAGTTCTTCGCTCGATGACTCTTGGCTCCTGGGTCTTGATGGGAGTTTTATGGGAGTGGTTTTGGGTTTGCCCTTGAAGATCTTATGAACTTTCCTAATATCAGAGTGGTGTTTATGTTAATTTCGAAGCAGTGGTTGTTTGAATCCTAGTCTGAATGCTGTCTTTGCATGACTTCCTTTTTCAAATGCCAGCCCCCTCTAGCCACAAATAACTGCCCTGACCACCCCCAGCATACTCACAGTATTTTGCTGCACTTGCTATAGTTTTTTTTTTTTCTCCTAGTGTGGCAGATGCTGCCACTGAGTAATTAATTTGGATTTGGCTGCCAAGTAATACCAGAGAAGAAGACAGCTGGGCACAGTGCTCCTGCAGAGTGTGCGTGACTGGCAGAGAGCAGTTGTGGGTATAATGGTTGGAAGAAATGAACTGAGCAGAAAATGTTTTTGTAAAGCGATTCCTGACTTGTGTTAACTCTTGAAGGCTTTGCTGTAACATTAACAAACTAGAAGATGACATTAGAAACAGAGAATTGAACAGATGTTCATTTCTAATAGCTCTGTTTGATTCTCTTTCAGATGTATATGTATCTGATATATAAAAAATATAGAGAAGTATAAATATCTATATGTACATATAGATAATAAAAATATATTTTGTAGGGCTGATTGATGACCATAATTGTGAACAATATTGCAAATTGATCTTTGGTGAGTTGTGGAGGAAAGGGACTTGATTTCCTTTTTGTCAAAACTGGCAGTCTAAAGTCCTGTTTACCTGTGAGTGGAGTTCAGATTTTAGCTTTCCAAAACACATAAAAGTAGCATTTAGCTTTCAGAGGTTTTTGTGTGTGTGTGTTTGTTTTTAAGAGTACTGGTCTTCCTCCTGTCACTGAGCTATCATGTTAGCAAATTTCAGTCCTTCGGTTATTTACAGACTGCCATATGTAAATCCAGTTTGAATGGCTGGTGGAGGAATTGACAGCCACAGCAAAAGCACATGGATATTTAGATACAAATAATAAGTTAAATAAATTTGCATAGAAATGCAAAGCAACCACTAGCAACTTAGAGTTGGGTTGTTTTTCCAATCATTTCCTACTAAGATTAGGGTTTTTTTTTTTTAGATTAATTTATTTTTATTGGAAAGTCAGATATACAGAGAGGAGGAGAGACAGAGAGGAAGAACTTCCATCCGATGATTCACTCCCCAAGTGACCACAACGGCTGGTGCTGCGCTGATCCGAAGCCAGGAGCCAGGAATCTCCAGGTCTCCCGTGTGGGTGCAGGCTCCCAAGGCTTTGGACTGTCCTCGACTGCTTTCCCAGGCCACAAGCAGGGAGCTGGATGGGAAGTGGAGCTGCCAGGATTAGAACCAGTGCCCATAATGGGATCCCGGGGCGTTCAAGGCGAGGACTTTAGCCTAGCCGCTAGGCCATGGTGCTGGACCCAAGATTAGGTTTTAATTTAGGTTGCTCACCACAACCTTAAAGAGCTTATTAACATACGTTGTAGCTAAGAGATGCTACTACTTGTGAGTTGAATTTGAAAAGAAAGTGTGTTGAGTTCCAATGAAGTCCAGAAAACCCCAGAGGATCTGAGTTCCCCTTCCTACTGGGGAGGCCCTATTCCAGAAGTGAGATCCTACCCATCAGACACCCTCAGGAGGCAGGTGCAGAGCGCTGAGACCCAGTGGGGCCCGGTGAAGAAGTCTGATCAGAATTTGACAAGACCAGTGTGCAAGCTGTGATGACAGGGCCTTGGTGCTTTGGTGGGACAGAAACTCCTGTTTTCAGGAGAGAAGCTGGATAAAAGGGGTGAGCCCGGACAGAAGTCTCATTTTCCCACTGTGGATGATGTCCTGCAAAGAAGCCCCCATGGGGGCCCGGCGGCGTGGCCTAGCAGCTTAAGTCTTCGCCTTGAACATGCTGGGATCCCATCTGGGCGCCGGTTCTAATCCCGGCAGCTCCACTTCCCATCCAGCTCCCTGCTTCTGACCTGGGAAAGCAGTTGAGGACGGCCCAAAGCTTTGGGATCCTGCACCTGTGTGGGAGACCTGGAGGAAGTTCCTGGCTCCTGGCTTCGGATCAGCACAGCACCAGCCGTTGTGGTCACTTGGGGAGTGAATCATCAGACAGAAGATCTTCCTCTCTATCTCTTCTCCTCTCTGTATATCTGACTTTATAATAAAAAAAAAATAAATCTTAAGAAAAGAAAACCAAAGAAGCTCCCTTGGGCGCATTGTAGAAGGTGGAACTAACCTCGTGCTTCTCTGTTCTTGTCAGCTGCTTAGTCACTTGGCTTTTTTCCCTTCCTCCCACTGAGGACATGCTGGTGATGCAGTTGTGAGCTGATGCTTTGTGATTTCCCCTGCTCTGCTTGGGGAAGTTACTCTGTTATATTTTAATTAAGCATGTGGGATTTTTGGGAGGTGATTTTGTCTTTGGTTTCATTTCTTTAAAATGTAGGTCTTCTGTGCATATCTGGTCTATTGGAGTAGAGTTGGGTTTTGGTTTTGTTGACTGAGGATCTGGAGACTTGACAGGGTGAATGTCCTCCACGAGATTATGAGACCAGGGACAAAGGAACTGCCCAGACTTTAACGCTTATCCATCAGTTACCTGGGTGAGAGGGTTTAAAAAAGTTCCCTTGTAACCACAGAACACTACAGCAAAGTTTTTGAGACATGAAGAGGATCCTCAGCAATGAAAACTACAACCTTTTGGCTTCCTGCTGATGACATAAGGGCTTGGATCTTGTGGCTCTTTGCGATGACCCTGCACGAGATGTCTGCCCAAGTCATCCATCAAGTTGAAGAGGCACTGGATGAAGAGGAGAAGGAGACACTGCTTTTCTTGTGCCGGGATGTGACCGCTGATGTGGTTGCACCCAATGTCAGGGACCTTCTAGATGTTTTAAGCAAGCAAGGCAAGCTGTCTGTCGGGGACTTGGCAGAGTTGCTGTACAGAGTGAAGCGCTTTGACCTGCTCCAGCAGATCTTGAAGATGGACAAAGCAGCTGTGGAGGCGCACCTGTTCAGGCACCCTCACCTTGTGTCAGACTACAGGTAATTCCTCAGCTCCTCCCAAAGCTGAGCTTGGGGCAGGAGGGGCTCTGGACATCACTGAATGATAACAATGAGGATGGTAAGAGAGGTCACACTGCGTTCTCTTGACCTGCTATAGGATGGCACTGCATCCCCTTGAATTCTGTGACCTCTTAAAATGAGCTTGTTTAAAGGAATAGGGTAGAAGATCACAGCAAAAGTGGAAGGCACAGATGCGTTGGCCTGAGGGGTAAGAGTGGAAAGATATGAAGATAGACCAGAAGAATTTAGAGATGATAATGTTACTGGCTTCTGACACAGTGTTCTGCAGAGGAGTTTGCTAACTTGTTATGACGTTTTGGCAATTTCCAGTCACCAAAACAGGAAATACCAGTCTGACAGTAAGCTTCCTAGTATTTTTCAGAACTTTGTGATCCCTTTTAAGTCCTTGTCAGTGTGTCCTGGCTGCTAGGTTTAGCAGGGTGGGATCCCATCCTGTGCCACCAGGGAAGACCAAATTAAAAATCTCAGTGAAGCACCTGTGAGCTTCCTCAGCTCAAAAAGGAAGCAGACACCGGGATCCCCTATAGTTCAGACAGCTTTTGAGGTGTTCCCTTTTTCTGAGTACAGGATTCTGTCTTGAAGATTCAGGTGGACCTAGAAGCCACTAGAAAAGCCAAGGTTTTGGGAGAAAGAAAAGAGAACTTGTAAGCTTGGATTGATAAATCTTTTTTTCTGCAGACCTCAGCCTTCTTCTCTTGCACTGATCATCTGTGCTTGAAGATGATTATGTCATTAAGAGCTGTAATACAGATAGCTGTAAGCAGGATGGGCTTGTTGGTGTGTAATACCTATCAGTGATGGGCCATGCAAACAGAAGCAGGCCCTAACCTTGGCCAGGGCTTTACTTACAAAGGCTATACCCAACTTTACAAGTTGTTTTGAGCTTTAACTGTGATGGTTTCTTTGTGAAATGTTAAAAAAAAAAGATAAAAAACAAAAAACTGAGATACTCAACAGATGCAAGTGTTTGCTATGCTAATTTTTCTTTTTAATTAATTATTTTAAAATTATTATGATCATTTTATGATACAGTTCCATAGGCCTTGGAATTTCCCCTGCCCTCACCTGAAGTCCCCTAACCCCAACTGAGTTCCCCTATATTATTACTATAGTATAGTTCTTCATAAACAGTCATATGTCCATCATTGCAGATATGGACAATAGCAGAGTCCAGCATCCCATTGTCAAGATATAGTTAACTGTTTCATTGGTAGTCCATCTTTTTATCAATCTTGCACCTGTTCAGTTTTCATCACAGATCAGTAATTGTCCAGCATTTGGGGAGGCACTGGCAGGATGATAGTAAAGAAGGAGGGTCCTCTCTCGATTTCCTCTTTCCTCTTGTGATGAGCCAAGATCATTCTATAGGCCCTCTGGATGGAGGCCAGGCTAGATTCGCCTGTTCATCAGGGCTCTCAAGTGTTTTGGCATGTGCCAGGTGTTTGGGTCAGCTGTAGGGCAAATAGAGGAGTAATCATCCATCCTCAAGATTCTGCGAGTCTAAGGCCAGAATCATCATGACCCGGATGCCTCACTCCCTGTGTTCCAAAGTGTCTCTTTGCTTTAGAGTTTTGCAGCTCAAGGTTTGGTCCCTGGAGCCCACATCACCTGCGAGCTCATTAAAACCAGAAAACAAGGCTACTCTGAATTCTATTTCTGTCTTTCATGTTAGTCATTTGGGTTCTCAGCTCATTTCTCTGTAACCTTTGGGGAAACTGGGGATGTTCAGAGACGTTTCCATTCTCGGAGGTGTTTTTAGAGTTGTTAATTAGAAACTGAGGTGTCATTTCCTGTTCGACATGGAGGAAAGAATGAACTTTCTTTTTAAGTCTCCTTAAGATGTCTTTCTGGGGGTGATCTAGGCTTTCTGCTTAGGGGGTGGGGCACTAGTGCATTAGAAGGGCAAAGAACTAATCTCTCTTCATTAGTTTTTAGCTTGGAGGAGGCATGGGCTGTTGGAGTTCTCAGGAAGACTGCTGTCTGAATTTACCCAAGAAACTTCTCTGTTTTATAGGGTACTAATGACAGAGATTGATGAAGATCTGATAAAATCTGATGTGTCTTCATTGGTCTTCCTTATGAGAGATTACATAGGCCGAGGCAAGATAACCAAGGATAAGGTGAGTTTTCTTATTCTTGGTTTGTGTTCCCAAGAGTGCAGCAGAAGTTGGGGCTGCTCCTATGGTAACCAGAGGGAAGCAGGCCATGAGAGACACCTGAGGCAGTTTTTCTACATAACACTGATGGCAAGACAGTTGGTTTGGACCTGGCACAATGACTCAGTTGGCTAATCATCCCCATGCAAGCACTGGGATCCCCATATGGGCACCGGGTTTGTGTCCTGGCTGTTCTGCTTCCCCTACTAATGGAAAAGAGCAGGCGTGGTTCAAGTCCTTGGAACTCTGCACCCATGTAGGAGACTCAGAAGAAGCTCCTGGTTCCTGGCTGAGCATTGGTTCAACTCCAGCCATTTTGACTATTTGGGGAATGAACCAGTGGATGAAAGAGATTTCTCTCTGTCTCTCCTTCTCTGGAAATCTGCCTTTCCAATAAATATAAAAAATAAAAAAGGAAAATTGTTTATGAATTGAGAAGAGGGTGGGTGGTAAGATCTTCCCAAATGGCCTTGCGTGTTTCCGTCATTCCTGGATTTTATCAGAATGCCCGAGTTCAATCCTTGGCCCTTGCTTCTGCCTTTAGCTACTTGCTGATGTACACCCTGGGAGACAATGGTGTGGCTGACGTGACTGAGTCCCTGCCACCATGTGGGAGACTTGGATTGAATTGCTGGCTCCTGTCTTTAACCTTTTACCTGGCTCAGCCCTGGCTGTTGTGGGGGAATGTGCCAGCTGACAGGACATCTCTTTTTCAAGGTGCTTGCCTCTCAAATAGATTAAATTTTTAAAACTTTATTTTGAAAGAAATTCCAATTGGACTTGCCTTCTGTTGCTGATGTAAGGACAGGTCAAAAAATGCTTGGGTCTCTAGTATATGACAATAGGTCCACAGGATGACTGAGCCCTGATGTCATATCCCAAGGGCTCTGTGTGTTCTTCCTTAAGGATTTCCTTAGGTTCCTTCTAATCTGGATGTCATAGGCAAAAGAGGAAAGAAAATGAACAATGGAACTCCTTTTATGGTTTTCCCTAATTTCTTTCCCAATCATTTCATTTACATATATTTAGTCATGATTATTATTTCTTTTTTAATTGTTTCTGATTTTTTAAGTTATTTTTGTTGATGTTTACATAGTTGAGAAGGATGCTTGCCTATGTAAACTACTGGTTAGGGTGGGAAAGGTCGAGGAGTAGAAGGAAGTGCATGAGATCATTGTTTCTAAATTTTTGTTTTTCTTCTTCCTGTATCTTGGGAGAGCAGGGAGACTAGGGGAAGCCACACCCAGCATCCTGTGTCAGTACCTGGGGCTGAGGAATGCCCACCCAATATCTTCCCAGGTTTCCCAATGTGGAGCATGCTCCATTCTGCTCAAGTGGTTTTGATAATTCTGAAATGCTGTTGATTTTGCCAATCCAAGGATCCATTGGCTGACACAGTCCACCTTAGAGTCTATATTCGCCTAGATATTTGCTGTCAAGCTTGGCTAGGGTAGTTGTCAAATTTGTTCTAAAAAAAGGATAACATTTCAGCAGCCAAATATGAAACACAAAGGAAATGAAACCAAAAGCAATTGCCTGGTTCTGAACTATGCTTTTTAAAATTCCTGTTATTCAAGGTAAATGATAGCTGAGCCTTCCTGTCCTTTAGCCTCTCCAGAACTCTTGAGTCAGACAGAATGAGTTGGCATGTGAAGTCTTAGTTAAAATGTTTTAGGAATTTTAACTTTGGCGTTTTTCTCGTAAAAATTGTCTCCAAGCTTTCTACTTGCTCTTTTCAGGGAAGGCTTTATTTAGTAGTTTTTCTTTTTGTGAACTTACCTTTTAGTTCCATTTTCCATGAACTTTTCAAGTTTTATTGATTTATTTGAGAAGCAGAATGGCAGAGGGAGGTAATTCATCCACTGGTTTACTCCCCAAATGTCTACAACAGCTGGAACTGGGCTAGGCAGAAACCAGGAACCAGGAACTCCATCTGGGTATCCCAGCAGGGATGGCAAGAACCCAAGTACTTGAGCCATTATTGGCTGCCTCCCAGGTGGGTTAGCAGGAAGCTGGGTGGGAAGGTAGAGGTGGGGCTTGATTCCCCACACTTCAATATGGACTGTAGGTTTCCTAAGCCTACATAACCAGCTATGTCACACATCTACTCTTGGGGGCAACTTCAGCATATTCAGTATTATGCAAGTCTGGCATTTTGGAGAAGAGTGAACTGAGGAAGGTATTGTTTTGGTTTTAGTTCTGCTCTTTCACAATGCTCCTTTAAGACACAAAATGACTTATCTCCTTTTTGAGCAAAATTCAGGAAGATTTTGCTTATGACATCCAGGTCATGAAAGTCATTGAAAGAATTCATCTTGTGACTATGTCTTACTAATTTATGTGGTCTAATGGTTGCATTTGAAGCCAATTAGTCACCTCTCCTGACATTTGTTCTTGGTAATGGTTCTCTTAGAGTTTCCTGGATCTTGTGATTGAGATGGAGAAACTAAAGCTGGTTGCTCCAGATCAACTGGATTTATTAGAAAAATGCCTAGAGACCATCCACAGAATAGACCTGAAGACAAAAATCCAGAAATACAGGCAATCTGGTAAGAATAGTCTTGGACTCTTGGTGGCCTTGTAAGGGCCTTGTATATATTTGGTATGGTTGGTTGATTTCATTTGTTGGATGGGTGTGTGGAGTGGAACAAGAAGTCCCACATCCCTCTGTAGCCTGTGGCTTCCAGATCACATCCTTCTAGATCCTTCATATTCCAGAGTGACTGACTCCCCTGCCCCTTATGACCATCACCTTAGCCATCTGCAAAATGCCTCCAGTCATGCTGGCTTTCAGGAGAGAGCCTACACCTCTGTTTTCTGCACAGGCAGGCAGAACTGTTGGCACTCAGGGTTTTTAAGTACTTGCTGAGCCCCGTTTCCTTGCTCCAATACTTAGTCTAATGACCACTGCTCCGTATAAGGGTAGAGTCAATTGAGGTTCCATGGCAGCCCTGCATGCGCCCTGCCTTTCATAAAACCTCCTTATGGAATGGGCTTTGTTGATTAGACCTTCCCCCGACCCCACTCCTCCCCTGCCTTTACCTTGAACCTTGACTTGGGCTTTGTTAGCCCTTCCCTGCTTCCATAGCATCGTGGCTGAGAGCCAGTGGTGCACCCCTTACCCCCCCAGACTCCAAATGACTAATAAAAGGCCAAGAACAGGAGTGACATTTTTAGTCCCTTCTTAGTGAACCATTATTTGTAATTTGGTAAGGTGGTCAAGAAGGTTTTGGGTGCTTTAGGAGATGGTGATTTGGGTGTTTTCAGAGATTCAGAAATGTCAGATTGAGACACTGTTGAAGAGTTGATTGTAATGCATAAATCTTAATTCCAGACCTCTTGTCTGCTTGTCGAGCTCCAAGAGTGGGAGCAAATTATACCAATGGTGTTCACGCCTCTCTCCTGAACTTGACTCTCAAAGATCCTTCATGTAACTTAAGGGTAAGTTTGGAGCAAATGTATGGGATCCCAGCAATTTAAACTCTATTTTACTATCTGAACCAATTGTGATACAAATGTATATTTGTTTCAAAAATATGCATACCTACTTATGATTACAAAACTAATATGTGTCCTTTGATATATTTGGAGAATATAGAGAATTATAAAAGGAGGAAACTAAGTCCATTGTGTCCAAAAGACAACCACTGTTCATATTTTGTTGTACTTTCTTCTGGTCTCTTTTCTTTGTATGTTTGAATGTATGTCTTTTTGTGTAGTTATATTAACTTTCATTGTTTATTTTTTCTTTGAAAGTATAATTTTTTTTTGAAAGACAGATATACAGGAAAAAGAGGCAGAAAGATCTTCTGTCTGCTGGTTCACTCCCCAAATGGCTGTAATGGCTGGAGCTGAGCTGATCCAATGCCAGGAGCCAGGAGCTTCCTACTGGTCTCCCACAAAGGTGCAGGATCTCAAGGCTTTGGTTATCCTCTACTGCCTTTCCAGGGATCTGGAAGGGAAGTGGAGCAGCTGGAACATGAACCTGTACCTCTGTGGGATCCCAGTGAATGCAAGGTGAGGACTTAGCCACTAGGCTATCGCACCAGGCTCCAAAATTTAACTTTTAAATACATAGAAATTGCCTATAGACAAAAAATTTAAAGTATCATAAGAGCTTTTTTAAAAAAGTTTTTTTTCTTGCCTACTTCTTTTTTTTTTCCTGCATACCTCTGTTGTACCATTCCTTAAAGTGTTTTCCCAGAGGCAAGCATTGTTAAGCAGCTTCTTCTGTAATCTGCAAGTGATAGTCTGTGGTCATATCTTTCGTTTCTTTTATACAAACGGTAGTACAACATTCTGATTCATTCAAAACTGTTTCTCATTATTTTTAGTGACTGAGTGTAATTGCATCTCTTAGAAAGAGTACACATATTTAACCCTTTCTTGTTGATGTGTCTACTGTTTGCGTATGTCATTATAAATGATGATGGAAAATAAGTATCATCGTATGCTTATCTTCATGCGTTTGCTTTTTATTGAGCTTGTTTTAACTCAGCAAGAATTATTTTGTTATTGAGGGATGAAAGTTCTTTTGTTGTAGCTCATTGATATAAATATCATATAGTCATTTACATTTGTTGTGATAGATTTAGGCACTACCACGTATATTCAGTAGTTTTCTTGGGTTGATCATTTGTCTTGTAAAATTATTTTTTATGTAAATTTATCATTATCTCCACAAAAAGTTCTGTTGAATTTATAATGAGGAATTAGGCCAGAGTATAATTTCATGGTTAGATTATAAACCCTTTGATAAAATGATGCTATGAAAACATTAGTAACTCCTGTAACATCACTGGCTTTTTGGAGGATATGAGCTTAAAAAGATATCACTGAGCAATAGAATTTGAGAGATTAAATGATATTAAGGGAGTCTGGCATGGTAGCCTAGTGGCTAAAGTCCTCGCCTTGCATGCATCAGAATCCCATATACGAGATGGTTAGTATCCTGGCTACTTCACTTCCCATCCAGCTCTCTGCTTGAGGCCTGGGAAAGCAGTAGAGGATGGTCCAAAGCCTTGGGACTCTGCATGTATGTGGGAGACGCAGAAGAAGCTCCTGTCTTCTGGCTTTGGATCAGCTCAGCTCTGGCCCTTGCAGCCCTTTGGGGGAGTGAATCAGCAGCTGGAACATCTGTCTCTCTGTCTCTTCTTCTTTCTATAAATCTTAAAAAAAAATCGAAGGAAAAGTGATGTTAAGGATTATACTGCCAGCATCCTCACGGAACATAGCAGGCAGACCTAGGCACAAAGAACATTAGGTGATTGTCTACTTCTACTAGCTGACCGAGTCCTGCTCTGCCAGTATACAGCTGACAAACCATGCAGGAATCAGATAATAGCTTAGATACATCTTTTTTTTTTTTCTAAAAAAAAATAATGTAGGCTTTATTTTCTCTGAGTCTCCATGATACCAAATCATGAGACTAATCTGGATTCACATTCAGATTTTCTGAGTTTTGTCTGTTCTAGTCTACCTAATAGAGATTATGCTGTCGTCATTAGTTTAAAAACTGTCATATGTTCTTACACTCTATTTCTGTTTTGAATGTGAAGTTACGCATGTCCATCGTCTCTGGGAACTCATATACGTCATGTATCAATTTCTACTGAAATTTGCTCCATGTAGTGTATCCCTCGTCACTCCCTCACTTGGAGAGCAAGCACTGTGGCATATGAATTTGGTGAATTCCCCCACAAGATTTAAGCAATGAATACCTAGGTGTTAACTCAAACAATGCTATAAAAAAAATAAAACAGCATTATATGACACAGGTTACCAAGATATTACTGAACAAAAAGTTTGTATGATGCTGCAATACTGCCTTTAAAATGTAGCCTTGATTTGTAGTTCTCTCTTTAAAAATTTTTTAACTTTAATTTTTAGCAGATTCAGTATGATTTAGATCAAGTGTAAGAATGTGCTGGTATTGCCTCCTCCTCCCTTATGCCTTCCCTGCTTCCCTTTTCCTAATCCCTTTCTTTCATTCTTTCTTTGTTATTGAGGTAGCATATTTTAAATTTACACTACAGCAAAAAGGCTTAATATTTCACCAAATAAGAAGCTTAACAAATAAAATTTTTAAAAATCCCTACTTTAGTAAGAATACAGACTGGCCATAAATGATAATGAAAATGGAAAATGATCATTTCTCTTTCTGATAGTGTGTTAAAGTGAATGTACATCTGTATGGGATGCTGGCATTGCGGGTGGTGGCTGTGCTTGCTGCACCACAATGCTGGGCCCATTGTCCTCATTTCACAGATGAGGAGACAGACCTGGAGCCGGTGAATAACTTGCTCGAGGTTTCCTAACTGGGAAGAGGCACAATCAGGAGTCAGAAGCAGGTGTGTCTGACTTTTAGCTCCCACTCATGACCATACTACACTTCATTCCTGTGTTAAAGGAATAAGGTGTCAATCTCACGCCTTAAAAAGTCGCTTCAGTTTTGGTACTCCTGTAGCAACTATGCTATTACATTTGGTTTTATTGAGTTGTTTTGAAACATTCTAATATGCTGATTTAGTATATCTATATGTTGATTGCATTTTTTTGCTTTTTAGAAAAAGTAATCTGTTTGTTGGCAATAAGATGGGACTTATGGAATTTAGACTACTTGTTGTTCTTTGTTAGGCAACTTAACTGTGAAGGTGGTATTTTTATGTTTTTCCCCGAGGAAGAATCCTATTGAGATATTTAAAGAGGTGAGATAGTGTGTGCCTCTAAAAAGGAAACTCACAGGCAATGTGACCTTATTCTTTCTGTTTGAAGCTACAGAATGGAAGAATTAAAGACCAAAGGCTTGTGGAACAACTTGGCATTCAAAGTAAGACCAAATTTTCTTTATAGTTACTCCTTCCTTGTAAATGCTTGATAATTCAAGTACATAATGTTGCCTTTTTACGGTTGGCAGTTTCCTGTATCTAAATATTCTAATTAATTTTTCAAGCACATTTACTGGCTTTCCTAGGTATCAATGGGATACACTTATTTAAATGTGAACACCAGCTTGCTCTATTTTTATCATCTTGATTTTGTTTCCAAGAGATGTTATGTTTATTCCTGAAATGAAGCTATAACCAGGCTGTGTTAAATAGTAATCCGATCATGATAATAAACTGTGTTAAACCAAATACTGAGTGGCAGTAAGAAGGAAGGTCAACAGGTTCTCACGGAATAAGGCTAAAGGATAGATGATACTCCCAAAGAGAAAGAAAAAAGAAGAATCACAATAGAAAACCTTGGTCGTTCCTACCCATAGGACCTCTGTCTTCTCTTGGGGAAAATGTCTGCTCTTGAACCCAGGGTGTCATCTTGTAGACATTTATTTCCGGGACTTGTGTTGAATGATCAGCATGTGGCCAGAGACTCAGTCACACACTGAAGGGGCAGAGGCTGTGCCTCACTGGGCCAGGAAGCATTGTCTGGCAGGCTGCTGGCTGGCAGCTTGGAGGGCACCTGTGTGATGTGGATGAAGGCGGTGATGGCCCCCACGCCCGATCACTAGCCTGTTGGTGGGCTGATGGGCCGCTGTTGCCCCTGGAATCTGGGCAGCATTTTGTCCAGGTGAGCTGGGTGGTACAGTTTGTACCTGTCATTCTGCTCTAGCAAAGACTACTAAGAAGTGAATAGATACTGTAAGTTATATCATATTTCTTTTATTTATTTAGTTAAACCTGATGGCCAATATACACTTGCTCATATAACGATAGGTGGAATATAACTTAGGCTACCAACACTTGGTGATCTTATTAGAAAACTTTTACCTGCAGTTTCTTGGACTTGATTTATTTATTACTAATAAAAAGCTTCTGAGAATTTGATCTTAGTCTTATGGGAATTTAAGCTATTCGAAACAGGTATTCATATGAATTTGGATTTGCCAATAGATGTCTTTTAAAAAAGATTTGTTTATTTTTATTGGAAAGGCAGATATACAGAAAGGAGGAGAGACAGAGAGGAAGATCCTCCATCCAATGGTTCACTCCCCAAGCAACCACAACAGCTGGAGCTGAGCCAATCTGAAGCCAGGAACCTCTTCCGGGTCTCCCACGTGGGTGCAGAGTCCCAAGACTTTGGGCAGTCCTTGACTGCTTTCCCAGGACACAAGGAGAGAGCTGGATGGGAAGTAGAGCTATCGGAATTAGAACCGGTATCCATATGGGATCCTGGTGCATTCAAGGCAAGGACTTTAACCACTATTCTATTGTGCCAGGCCCTCTCACTAGATTTCAACTGAAAGATTATGATGATGATAAGTAAAACTTATCGAGCTTTTGTTAAATACTTTTAAAATGAGATATGTCACAAAGATTATTTTGTAAGTTTTGCTTATTTTGTGAATATTCATGATAAAGTACAAAAGGTAAAGTGAGATTTTCTCTTAATTCTAAATGTCAGAGACAGTACCTGTAGACTCTTTTATGTTTAAGTATGTATATATGCGTGAGTATATGCCTACAAATATATACTTTTTTAAAACAAGATTTATTTATTTGAAAAGCAGAGTCAGAAATGTTTTCAGGGAGACACAGACTTTTTTTTTTAAGATTTTTTTTTTTATTGGAAAGTCAGACACAGAAAGATCTTCCATCTCTTGGCTCATTCCCTAAGTGGCCACAACAGCTGGAGCTGAGCTGATCTGAAGCCAGGAGTCAGGAGCTTCTTCCAGGTCTCCCACAGGAGTGCAGGGTCCCAAGGCTTTGGACCATCCTTGACTGCCTTCCCAGGCCACAGGCAGGGAGCTGGATGGGAAGTAGGGCAGCCAGGATTAGAACCACTGCGCATATGGGATCTTAGTGGTTGTAGCGAAGACTTTAGCCATTAGGCTACCACACTGGGGCCTAACATTCATTTTTGTACTCATGTTTATAATTAGAATAGACTTCTAGAAATAGAATGTTCAGTACAGGATATAGGCTACTACCCTTAAAAAAATAACAAAACTCTTAACTTACCCAGCAAAAGCATTCACAAGCTCGTTTTTCCTAAGCATTACCAGTATGGGCATTTCCTTTGCCAGTTCTCCTTTTACAATGCTCTTACAGGCAGATGTTAGTACTTCCGTTTCCAGTTGAGTAACCCATTGAAATTTGAAGAGGATCACAGAGTTTGTTAGGACACAATGCTAGGGTTTGAGCCAGCCGCTTTGTGGTTTCTAAAACTGGTGTACTCCACTTCCCTCAGCTAGTCAAGTTGTAATCTGGCCAAATTTGCGTTTGGCTCCTCTATATTGGCTGGTCTTACTATTTTCTAACTTGCCACTAACGAAGTTCCCTCATTGTCTCCTCGTGCCCCTGGATTGTGGGGCTTTGGTCATCTGTTCTGAGGGGCCAGCTCACATGCACCTCCATTTCTCCACCCTAAACTGTTCCCCATGGGTGTCATCTGTGACTTTGGCTCGCTGGAGGAAGCTGTCAAGACTGTTGGGTGGTGAGGTTACTAGGGACTCTGCCCAATACAAAGTCCTGAGTCTATTCTGCCAGTTAATCGCTGTTTTTTGTTCCTTGTATGGGAAGAGACATGGAAAGGATTCTTGCACTTGCTTTTTAAAAATGTATGGTTTCCACTTAGCCTCTGGGTTGCAATGTGGATTTGTGTTTTCTTATTAGGTTCTTCTGTACTGTTTGTAAACATTTAGTTTATTTTTATTTGAGAGTGAAACACAGAGAGAGGGAGACAGATCTTCCATTTGCTGGGTTGTTCCCCAAATGGCCTCAATGGCCAGGGCTGGGTCAGGCAGAAGCCAGGAACCAGGAACTTCTTCCAGGTTCTCCCATATGAGTTTGAGGACTCAAGGCCCTGGGCCATTCTCTGCTGCTTTCCCAGGAAGCTGGACTGGCTGTGTAGCCACTGGAACTCACACTGGTCCCCATATGGGTTGCTGGCAGCTTAAGCTGCTACACTATAGCACCAACTCCAGGTTCTTCAGTTTTAGTTTGGAAGCTTGGGGCTGAGAAGAGCTGAGGAAGGAAGAAATCCTTGTGGAAATGAGGGAAAAGAAGCCATGTGATGTCAACACCCTCGGGCAGCTTGGGTGTGGGCTTAGGTCTCCTGCAGCCTGCTACATGACTGCTCTCTCATCCTCAGGAAGGCCGGTGAAGAAGTCCGTTCAGGAATCAGGAGCCTCGGTGCCTCAGGTATGGTGTAAATGAGCTGATTTGGTCCTGTGTGGAATGCACAGTATGGGTGCAGAACAGTGACTTTAAAATGACCTGTGTGAGAAGAGTTCCTTGTGACAATGAGACATCAGGAGCTCCCTGAGCAGGGGACCTTGAATGTGGTGAAGAGGAAGGAGATTAAAGTGGATGCAACAATGATCTTTGGAACACAGGGAATTTCTGAAGTGCCATCCAGCTGAGTGATTGCTGAGCCCATGAGTGGGCAGCCACATGACTTTGAACTTTCACATATTCCAACCTTTGTTTGGGGTGATGCCTTTTCTCCATAAGAGGCCACAGAAGGTCACACTTTGTACTGATTTGGCAAGAGACCGCTTGTGTTGCTTCAGCTTCATGTGGCGATATAGGAACCTTTTTTGTTTCAAATTACTTTTATCCTACAAAGCTCAAGGATGCATAAAGAGACTGAAATTTTTGTTGAAGAAATTGGAATAGTTCATTAGTCTTAAGCACATTTCCTTAATAGTGGACAAATTGGTTTAAAGGAAAATGTCAGTTGCAATGACTTCATGGTGACTCACCTGCTGAAGGGGTGTTTAAGGAAATTCAGTTGAAAAGCTGTTGGATGGGGGGAACTTACGAAAGTAGAGCAGTATGTAGAGTATTTAACAACCCATGCCTTCCATTCCAGCACCTAACAGAAGAGAGATACAGGATGCGGAGCAAGCCCCTGGGAATCTGCCTGATAATTGATTGCATCGGCACTAACATAGGTATGTGTGGAAGCAAAAGGTTAACAGAAGTCCCCACCTGAGGTTACAACAGACTAATCGTGTGTGATTAACCCCAGCTGCCCTAACACATCACAGCAGACAGTGACGTGTGTCTCCTCCTGTATGTCACAGCCCAGTGTAGACTGGATTGCGTGAACTTTGGTCCATGTGGCCATTGAGTAGCTTAATCCTCATCTGAAGCCTTGAATCCTCTGCAGGGTCCATTGTCCGATGGGAGGATGGTAGAGAGGATGTGTGAGGATCTCGTGATGACTTGCTCTGAAGCTAGATTGGAATGTAGTCACTGTCCCCAGCTGACTTCAGAGGATGTGGATTAGTTGGTCCAGTCCAGTGTCAGGAGAGTGAACTGATTTGAGGAATATGTAGCCTGATCTCTGGCACCTGCTGGATGATGTAGGAGAGCTGGTGAGCTGCGATCCTGCATTTGCATCCTAGATGGTGGGGCAGGGTAGAGTCTTGAGACCCAGGGGACGTTTGCAGTGTGGGAGGCCCTCTGACTTCAGACTTTCTCAGGTGCCCCGTGGCTTACCTGTGGACTGTGAATGTGGGGACATTAGCACATGAGACTGATGTATGTTCACTAAGAGGGCTGGACATCATCTGATCCGCTTGGGTGTCACTTGGGTTTCCTGTCCTTTACTTTGGTTTTTGGCCTGAGTTTGTTTCACCAGTCTGTCACTATTGTTTGTATTTGGATGCCTTACTTAAACGGGCAAGGTATCAAAAGAATGACAATGTTTAATTATTTATCTCTTCCTTAGAAAGATTGATCATCATTTTTCCAAATTTTTCTAATTTCTCAGCAGTTTCTTAGAATACATCAGAATATCTTTTAAGATCACGTAAAATGTTATCACTGGGTTTCTAGGAAGAGTGTCTGAGAGAAGTGAACAAATATGAGACTGAATTTCCCAGGATTTCTAGTGTGACCCTATATTTTGTTAGTGAGAAATGTCCTCATCTCAGCCATAGATAAGTGCCCTGTCCATGCTGGCCATCAGTACACAGTATGAATGGGGATGTATTTACTCAGTGAGTCACTTCCTCTCAGACTGTCCTCCATCCGTGCTGGCAGTCAGTTTTGTCACATTCCTCAGTGCTGACACTCCCAAGAGCACATGATGCTGTCTGTTGGGCTTGTTACCTTTTTCTTTTAGGGAGAATCAAAAGATAAAAGTGTCCTTGGCCGTGACCTGGAAAACTGCCGTTTGTGGCTTGGATCCACAGGTCATGCATGTTTCCACACTGGGTTGGGGTCCCTTGCAGGCTGGGGTGGTGGAAGGCTCTGCATTCCAGGAGCATGAGCAGGGCTGGGGCATGACGACAAGGGGATGGAATGAACAGCTCTTCCTTGTATCATAGTTCGTGACTCTGGGCAACTGTTCAAGACACTTTAGTACTCAATTTCTTTTTTAATAAAGTAAATTAATAATAGGCCCTACCTTTTAGCAAGGCTGGGCAGAGTGAGGGAGTCCATATTTGTAAAACGCTTAGGACTGTGGCTGGAAGTCAGATTGGCTGGAGCTGCACTAATCTGAAGCCAGGAGCCAGGAGCTTCTTCTGGGTCTCCCATGTGGGTGCAGGGTTCCAGTGCTTTGTGCCGTCTTCAGCTGCTTTCCCAATTCACAAGCAGGGAGCTGGATGGGAAGCAGGGCTGCTGAGATTACAATCAGCACCCATATTGGATCCTGGTTCATATAAGGTGAGGACTTTAGCCACTAGGCTACTGCACCAGCCCACCTTTATTTACTTTTAAAAATTTATTTGAGAGAAAGAGAGAGAGAGTGAATTCATGAGACCACTCTTATCCACTGGTTCACTTCCTAGGTGCTTGGCAGTGGCTGCTTGTGCTGAAGCCAGGAGCTAGGAATTCAATCCAGGTCTCCATATGTGTAATGAGAACCCAACTACTTCAGTGTCTCTGCTGCCTCCTAGGGTGCTCATTAGCGGGAAGTCAGAATTAGGAGCTGGAACTAGAAACTGAACCCAGATAGTCCCATGAGGGTTGCTGGTATTCTAGATGGCAGCTCTACCACCAGCTCAGCCACCTGCCCTTGCTTGTTTAATTTTACTTGCAAATCCTCAGCAAGCACTTGTTGTGGCTTTGGCTTGCTTTGTGGAGTCTGGCCTCAGACAAGTAAGAGGTCGAGAATCCGGGCACTAGAGATCTGCATGGGCTGCCAGGGTGGGACCACATCCCCACACACTGCATCACACTGGAATGGAGGCTGATAACCTGAGAGATTATAATAAGGGGCAACCTTTTGGGATCTATTCCTGTTAGTCATCAATCTGAATGGCCACAACAGAGGAGATTTTAAGTATGAAATCTGAGATACAGAGCAAAGAGACTGATCAGAGAGAAAGCTACAAGAGGAGTGTAGAATTGGAAGTGGAGTTTGTGCCCCTTATCTTTGGCCCAGGAAGTGAGCATGTGTTGGCTGCGTGTGTATTGGTACCTCTGTGTTCTGCTTATGTGGCTACTGATGAGTGTGTATGTGAGCCCCAAGAATGAGAAGAGAAGTTCTACCCAGTAGGTCCTTGCAAGTTCAACATCTTGAAGATGGAGTACTGGGCAAGCATGGGCCGGAGAGGGGCTGCCGGGTGCTCAGCACAGCCTCCCCCCTGAGAATTTGAGTTCTATGAGCTCCAGCTCTTTTTTTTTTTTAAGGTTTATTTATTTTGCAAAATCAGATATACAGAGAGGAAGAGAGACAGAGAGGAGGATCCTCCTTCCTATGATTCACACCCCAAGTGACCGCAACAGCCCGTGCATGTGAATCTGAATCCGAAGCCAGGAGCCAGGAACTTCCTCCAGGTCTCCCATGTGGGTGCAGGGTCCCAAGGCTTTGGGCCGTTCTCAACTGCTTTCCCAGGCCACAAGCAGGGGGCTGGATGGGAAGTGGGGCTGCTGGAATTAGAACCGGCGCTCAAACGGAATCCAGGTGCATGCAAGGTGAGGACTTTAGCTGCAAGGCCACTGCGCCAGACCCAACTCTTTCTGTCTTAAGGAACACAACAAATAATTAGGCTTGGGACATCTCCCAGGCCCAGGGGACTCATGAGCAAGTGACAAGCCCGACAGTACTTCCCTGGCACTGGGCTTCTTACCAGTGAAGCAGATACCAGCTGAGACTCCAAGCAGCAGGGTACTCCTCCTGGTTGTGAAGTAGAAAGATGCCATCCCCTCTTCCCACACTCTCCAAGCTTCCAGCTCTTTATTTTCCTCTCCTAGGGACCTTGTTTCCCCCCACAAAGGACTCTAGCCTAGAGCCCTGTTTTGAGTACAAAGTGGTTTTTGTTTGATGCTGTACTTTAGTTCTTCTGTTCCATCTTATCAGCAGAACACTATCAAGAATGATTATGTGGCATTTCCTTTATCTGTGTCACTTTGCCATATGGTTAATGAATGCAGAAGGCAAATAACATTGAGGCAGACAAAATAATTTCCAGTTAAAATAGAACTTTGAAAGAAGCAGTGAACGATAAAGACTAACTTGATGTGATAATGATTAGTGGATATAATTTATTAAATACCTCCATTAAGTTATTGCCTATAATGTTGCCATCCCACACGAATGCCAGCTGCTTTGCTTCTCATCTAGGTCACTGCCTATGCACCTGCAAAAGTAGAAGAAATGGTCCAAAATCTTTGGCCTTGCCACCCATGTGGGAGATGCAGATGGAGATCCAGTCTTCTGATTTTGCCTGGCCCTGATATGATTGTTGCAGCCATTTGTGGAGTAGAACAGCAGAAGGAGCCAGGCCCGAACCAGGTCAAAGCCAAGAGCTTGGAATTCCATCTGGATCTTCCACACAGATTGCAGGATCCTGAATGCTTGGGCTGTAGTCCACTCTTTTCCCAGGGAGCTGATCAGAAGAGGGGCAGTTAGGACTCCATGTGGGATGCTGGCATTGCAGGCAGTGGTCTAACGTGATACCCCATAACTCTGGGGTATCATCTAATACCTTCATTAAAAGATCATGCAAATCCTCCTAGTGCTTATAGCTTGATTCATTCCTTTGTCCAAAAAGTGTATGAGCAGTATGCTTGTTTGTGAGTGAAATGAATTTCAAGGCTATGAGGTTGTGTCTGGTCTGTTTGGCAGAGGAAAAGACTGGTCAGTCCTGGTGTGTCTTCTTTGCAAGTCCCTTGGCACACCAGGCCTGTGCTGGCCTCTGTTGTGAGTGCCAGCCCTTTTAATCTTGTTAGGAATGTGGACCCATGGACTTTGGAGGTTGGCCTGAAGCTGTAGATGTGTTGTAAACTCCCGAATGAGGAATGGTATTTGCAGATTTTATGAGGAAATGTTTTTTCTTTCTTTTTTTTTCACGTTGACTGCTTTTGAAAAGCTTGAACAATTTTCTGTGCTTTGTAAATAGGCCAAGATTTAGACTTTTCTAGTAGACATTTACAGATTTCTATCACTTGCATAAGTAAACTTCATCTTACTTTTAAAAAAGATTTAACTAATTAACTAATTTAATTAATTTGCAATAGCAAGAGAGAGATATCTTTTGTCTGTTGGTTCACTCCTTTTTTTTTTATAAACCCATTATTTATTTTTTTTTTAAGATTTATTTTTATTTTTATTGGAAAGGCGGATATACAGAGAGGAGAGACAGAGAGGAAGATCTTCCATCCAATGATTCACTCCCCAAGTGAGCACAATGGCCGATGCTATGCCAATCCGAAGCCAGGATCCAGGAACTTCTTCTGGGTCTCCCACGTGGGTGCAGGGTCCCAAGGCTTTGGGCCGTCCTCGACTGCTTTCCCAGGCTACAAGCAGGGAGCTGGATGGGAAGTGGAGCTGCCGGGATTAGAACCGGCGCCATAAGGCGAGGACTTAAGCCACTAGGCTACGATGCCACCGGGCCCTGATTCACTCCTCAAATGGCTGCAACAGCCATGGGAAGCCAGGAGCCAGGGACTTCACACAGATTTCCCAAGGGTCCAAGATCATCTTCTGTGGCCTTCCCAGGTCCCTTAGTAGGTAGCTGGATTGAAAATGGAGCAGCTGGGACTCAGACCAGCACTCCTGTAGGATACTGGCATTGCAGACATTGGATAACCTACTATACCACAGCGCCCTCCCCCAGAAACTTCTCTTGACATGCAATTGACATGTTTATTAATGATAATAATAGTGGCTAAAGTCCTCGCCTTGCAAGTGCCGGGATCTCATATGGCTGCTGGTTCTAATTCCAGCAGCCCTGCTTCCCATCCAGCTCCCTGCCTGTGGCCTGGGAAAACAGTTAAGGACAACCTAAAGCCTTGGTACCCTGCACCCATGAGGGAGACCCGGAAGAGAGTCGGGGTCCTGGCTTTGGATCGGCGCAGCTCTGGCTGTTTCAGTTGCTTGGGGATTGAGTTAATGGATGGAAGATCTTCCTCTCTGTCTCTTCTCCTCTTTTCTGTATATCTGGCTTTCCAATAAAAATAAAACAGATTTTTTTTTTAAAAAAAAGGTTCATACAAAAGAAACTACTAGTAGTGATTTGTGTTTTACAAAGAAGTTATGTAGGGGCTGGCATTGTGATGTCAGCTCCTACCTGGTCTGCTTCCTTTCTGTCTCCCTGCTGGTACACGTGGGAGGGCAGCAGTGGATGGCCCAAGTGCTCAATGCCCTGCCCTCCACGTGGGAGACCTGCATAGGGTTCTAGGCTCTTGATTTTGGTTGGAGTCAGCCCTGGTCATCATGGCCATCTGGGGAATGAACCTGTGAATAGGAGCTATTTCTCTCTCTGTCTCTCTCCTTCAATTTTTGTGTTATTCTGCTTTCCAAATAAATAAATATTTAAAAAAATAAGACATAGAGGGCCTGGTGTGATAGCCTACTGACTAAAATCCCATATGGGTGCTTATTGTGTTGCAGCTGTTCCACTTCCCATTCAGCTCCCTGCTCGTGGCCTGGGAAAGCAGTAGAGAATGGCGCAAGGTCTTGGGACCCTGCGCGCACGTGGGAGACATGGAGGAAGTTTCCAGTTTCTGAGTTTGGATTGCTTCAGTTCCGGCCATTGCAGCCACTTGGGGAGTGAACCAGAGGATGGAAGATTTTTCTTTCTCTCCTTCTCTCTGTAAATCTGTCTTTCCAGTAAAATCAATCAATCAGTCAATCACTTTTTTTAAAGACATATATAAAGTAGCTTATAATTGTGAGCCTAACATGAGTTTTGAAGCCAAAGTAAACTTGACCAAGGCTGCGTGACTTGTTCCTCTCTTGGAGATTGCAGTGTTTGAGTCATTTTCCTGTGAAGAAATCCATTTCGGCCTGTCAGCCTGACATTTCCCATTCATTCCTGTCCCTGTAACCATGGAAACCACCATGCCCTTCTTGTGTTCTGCTTATGTGCTTGGTGGTGATTCTACCTGGGCTCACTGAGGATACTCATAAGTAAAGCAGAGTAGCATTCTCCGTTTCTCATTTATCCCACACTCTGACTTTAATAGAAAGTGTCAAGATAATGTGCCCTCATTTAGACCAAGATACATGAGCCCACTGCAGTCCCTGACTGTACTTTGCTTTGAGGTTTGACCTCCAAAGTCCCCAAACCTTTGAGTAGTGCTGGCCCTGACCTCTCTGTCACAGCCCTGTACTGGCCACTAGACCTGATGGTCCCTCTCCCTCACTACATCACAAAATTATTTTCTCAAGGGCAGTTGAAACTCACAGAAATGAGGATGAATTAAGAAAGGGATTTCCAGGGTGGGTAGAAGGAGAAGTGGGATTTCTGCAGTGTCAAGTTTTACTTTCCCTACTCAGCACCCAGGTTTTTCTTCCCTTATTTGGGTCACAGCCATTGTCATTCATGGTTTTTGGTTTTGCTTCCAGTTTTTTTTTTTTTTAAGATTTATTTATTGGAAAGCCAGATATACAGAAAAGAGGAGAAGAGACAGAGAGGAAGATCTTCCGTCCGATGATTCACTCCCCAAGTGAGTGCAACAGCCGATCCTATGCTGATCCGAAGCCAGGATCCAGGAACTTCTTCCGGGCATTCCCACACAGGCGCAGGGTCCCAAAGCTTTGGGCCATCCTCGACTGCTTTCCCAGGCTACAAGCAGGGAGCTGAATGGGAAGTGGAGCTGCCGGGATTAGAACCGGCGCCCATATGGGATCCTGGGGTGTTCAAGGCGAGGCCACGCTGCCGGGCCCTGCTTCTAGTTTTAGTCTTCTTTCTCCCCCACTCCTGTTCTGTTAGGTAAAGATTTTCCTCCTGGCACCTGGGAATCCTGTCCCCAGTTTAGTCTGTCTGGTTGTGGAGGTCAACCTTCAAAGGCAAGTTCAGCCCTCAGAGAAGGGAGCAGGCAAGATTTAAACTCAGATGGAGTTGATCTCAGATTGGTTCCTTTGGCCCTCTACTCACTGTGTCTAGCCAGGGCCCCAAGGAGCCCAGATAAAGCAAAGAGCCAAAGGCCTGGAACACGCTTGTTTTGTCCATCTCTATACATGGTCACAGAAATGGAGAGAGACCCTGGTGATGCTTTGCTTCAAGGACTTTGGTCAGGGAGGAAAGATCAGCAAAGGGAGAGCTTGGAGAAGTGAACCAGTGGAGACCAAGTAGAGTGCGATGTTTCCCTGTTTGCTTCCGCCCCCTAGAGGAGAGGATTTGTATGCTCTGAGGTGTGTGAGTCTGCAAGGAAGTATTGATGGGACTGGCAGAGATTCTCTCCTTGTTCTGACCTGTAACCACCTGAGCCATCAGAGGCGGTGGCTGGGAGATAACACAGCCAGGCCTTTTCTGTCCCGTGGATATTTTTTGAGGGAAAGAATGTCATTGAATAGGTTATTAGCAGCCTGTCAACCAAGTCTCCCAATGCCTTGATAATGATGACTGAAAACAGGTGTAAGGATGCTAGCTTCTTCTTTGTTCCTCTTCAATATTAGATGGTCAATAATTCCATTGTTAAACTATCCACTTTGGGCCAGGCAAAGGGGAAAAGGACATCGTGTAACTATGGACTTAGATTACAGTAATTGTCATTGTCTTCATTGCCAGGAGAGGTCTGAAATCCTACTTGGCGGATTGTTGTTCCAATGATGTGTGCGTAACACTCCAAAGTATGGCTTTATTTGTGCTGCCCACTCCTTATAATGTCTTGTGAGGTGGCTGTTACCACTGCTGCCTAAAACTGGGGAGAGCAGTGTTAACGTCACATAGATGTGATACACTTCCCTTCATGCTTTGCTCACTCCAGCATTGTTCTCCCTGTTTGTTTCCTCCAGAGGGTCTTCAAAAAACTTTCACCTCTCTGGGCTTTAAAGTGCAGCCCTTCAAGTGTCTCCGTATGTGTGACATCATCAGAGAACTTGACAAAGCTGCCAGGGAACCCAAGCATCAAGACTATGACAGCTTTGTGTGTATCCTAGTGAGCCGAGGAAGTACCCAGAGTGTATTCGGTGTGGACAAGTTTGAATCGGGCTTTCCCTTGCACAACATCCGGAAGATGTTCATGGGGGACTCGTGCCCTTATCTCGTAGGGAAGCCTAAGCTTTTCTTCCTCCAGAACTATGTGGTGTCAGAGAGCCTGCTGGAGGTGGATGGACCGGCTGTGAAAACTTCCGAACCCAAGATGCCACACCTGGGACCCTCCACCATTCACCGTGAAGCCGACTTCTTCTGGAGCCTGTGCACGGCGGATGTGTCCCTGCTGGAGCAGGTCCCCAGCTCACCTTCCCTATACTTGCAGGTCCTCTCCCAGAAGTTGGAACAAGAAAGGTGAGCCCAGTGGAGGTGGCTGGGCTCTGCCTGATCTTTGCCCTGCTTGAACCATTTACCCCGCCATGCTGGGTTGGATGTTCTTTTCTTCAATGAGGAAAGGAGATTTATTTTTCTTCCGCATTGGAGTTGCCTAAAGAATAGGATACAGAGCCAGTGTAACTATGAGTATTTTGTGGTAGCTCATCAGTTAAGTATTTTTCTTCAAAATGAAAAACTTTAAAAAATTATATGAGAGGTAGAGAATCAGAAAGAGAGAGAGAATACTGCAGAATCACTCACCAAGTATCTGTGACAGCTTGTATGGCACTGGGCTGAAGCTGAGAGCTGGAGACTCAACCCAGGTCTCCCATGTGGGAGGCAGAGTTCCTTGAGTCAACAGGGCTGCCTCCAAGAATGTGCATGAGCAGAAAGCTAGAATCAGGAGGAGTCGGGACTTGAACTAAGCTAGTCCGCTATGGACGATGGGTGCCTCGATGAGTGTCTTAACAAATGGGATGCATGCTTTCCCCAGGTTGAGAGATTTCTAATTGCTCTTTAATTATTATAAAACAATTTGTATTCATTTTAAAAATCCATGAAAAATAGATACTGAAAGCAGGATGTAACAAACAGTTGTAATCCTAGTTACTGGAGCCAACCTCTGCTAACTAAGTCTTGACGTTTTGCTCTCTAGATATTATTTTGGATACCTACACAGTCAGATATAAGTACTTTCAACCCAAATGAAATTATATAATATCACTTCATGTGGTAATTTGAATTTGTTTAATGGTAGATCACACACTGTGCATGTTACTGGTCACATTTTAACAACATCACTTTAATATTTTCAGGGCAACCCATGATATGACTATAGTTTAATTTGCTCCAGCAATCTTCACTTGTTGGATAGTTTTTCTTTCATACAAACAACATGTTAAATATCTTTGCAACTCACTACTTGTGTTTATTTGTAATAGTTTCCTTGAGAGGAATACCTAGAAATGTCAAAGGACACAGGTTTTATGTGTCTTTAATACATCTCACCAGCTGTCCTCCAGGGTCAGCTTTGCGTGAGTGTGGCTGTGTCCCTGGATTCTCACCAACACTCTGTGCTCTTCTGTTTTCCAAGTCCTGACAATGCTATCTGACTATTCAGACCTGTGAGTTTCTGCAGTAATCCCTCCTGTGAGGTCTCACTTACCTAATGTCAACCTCAGTTTGAGAATATGGAATGAAAACATTCCAGAAATAAGTAATTATACATTTCAAATGAAGCTGATCATAGTATATTGTTATTGCTAGTCTATTGTTAATTGTGTTGCTAATCTCTTATACTGCTGAATTTGTAAGTTAAACTTTGTCATAGAGGTAGATGAGTGTATAGGAAAATACATACACACAATATAGGGATTGACATCATCTGTAGTTTCAGCAACCACTGGGGTTGTTGAGTTATATTTTCCAGTGGATGAAAAGAGTCTGCATTGTAACTATTTTTAATATAACTTAAAGAATACTTGTCTAAGGGAAACATCAGCGATCTGTTTTTTATTTAAGCTGATGGAAGCTACAGTATACCTCAACTATAAGATTAACTGGCTTTTTTCCATTGGCTCCTAATTATAATTTGGTTGTTTCCAAGCTACTTATCAAATGCATTCTGGGTGTGGTTGTGACAACCCCATGAATGGATCTCATAGTCTTTTCTCCTCATTCTGCCTAATAATGATGTTGCTGTAGGAGGAGCAACCTGATCCTTCAAGATTGGCCTTTTATATCCATAATGATCCAGGTGGGGTGTCATGTGAATGGTGTATTCCCAGAGTAAAACTTAGCTGCCCTTTGTGCAAAGGGACTGCGTCTCTTGAGCCAAAGCTGTGTCAGCCTGTTTAAATCATTCACAAAGTAGCTTATAGAGTGTTTAAAAAGGAACAGTTCCAAAGCACTTACATTTTTTTTTTTTACCATCATGACATTCTGTCTTTTCATTGATATTATCGTGGCATTAACATTTCACTTCTTCTTACCTCCAGAAAACGCCCACTCCTGGACCTCCATGTTGAACTCAACAGCAAAGTGTGTGATTGGAACAGTCAAGTTCCTGCTAAGAAGAAGTACCATGTCTTGCTGCAGCATACTCTGCGAAAACAACTCATCCTTTCTTAACCAAAAAACAATTCAAATGCACTGAATGCCACTATGTCCCTCTCTAGGGAATGGGAGCTTTTCTCGCAGGCATAGAGGTGCTTGGTGTAGTTGAGCTCCTTCCCCTGGGTCAGGAAGTTCCCCCTGGGTGTGTGTTGGAGCTGGATCCTCAGGTGGAGGGTGGAGGCACTGGCCACTGTGGACAAAAGAGCTGACTGGGTAAGCCTTAGGAAGGGAAATGCTTTGGAACTTTAAAAATCAAGTGTTGATTGAATTGAGCATTTCAGGATTATGTTGCCTTTTGTAGCCATTATTATGTTCTATGATCAACTAAAACAAAAGTGCAGGGATAGGTATTTAAATGCTTGCAGTTAGTCTGTAGGTGTCCATATGTCACAAACAATTGCTACCAGAAACAGCACAGTTAACCAACATTTTATATATTGCCTTGCACAGTTTTTTTTTCTGCACATAAGCTCTGGATGTGGAACAGAGGTTGTCTTATATCCAGAGGTTGGACAACTGTGTCAAATCACTGTGGACTAAGTCATAGTCTGGAGGCCTGGAAGTCTGAGATCAAGGGGGCAGCAGAGGTCATGTCTGTGTCTGGTGAGCCACCTGCTTCTGGGTTTGCAGGTGGCTCTTTTCTCTTGTCTTCATGTGGCCTGGTTGGATGAGTGGGAATGAGAGAGGGAGGAAAGGGAACCCTCTCTTATCTCTTTTGATAAGGGCACTAACTTTATTCATGAGGTTCCCACCTTTATAACCTAATTGCCTCTCAAAGACTCCACTTCTTAATACCATTGCAATGGGAATTGAGCTCTCAGCATCCAAGGAAGACTCAACATGGAAGGGCAATCTGGTAGTGTATGAGAGGCTTGTCCACTCACTCAGTGGTTCACATTATCAAGGACACCTCTGATTCTACACTTTGATGCCACTATCATTGTTTCAAGTCTCACTTAAAACTCTACAGTATAATGAACTGTTGCATGGTGCGAGCGAGATTACACCAGACATGTCTAAGGTTTATTGAGGAGTCTTTATTAACAAAGCTTGGTGATAATAGAGCACAATAGCAAATCACAAGTCCATATGGCAATCCAACCAATCATAATCCCAAGAGGAACAAATGGTCATTATCCTTAAATCCATCCATTAAGCTGAAGACCTATGTCCCAGCTTCCCCAACAATATAAGTTATCCTAAGAGACATGCAACAAATAACCTGGACACACTCACAAAGCTGCAGACATTCACCTTTCCCTGGCTTCTCTGCCCACATTCCACTACTGCTAGGCCTCACCCCTCCTGGAACTCCTGACAGCACACAAACCAGAAACAACATTATTATAACCATTGCCCCATCTAAGCAGTACACAGGGACCATGCTCAGGGGATTACCTGTCCTGGGTCAGCCAAGAGTCGAGGTGCCAGAATAATGGAAGCACCTGGCCAGAAAGAGTGAGAGTCCCTGCTTCATGGGTCTTTTAAAGGGGCTTGTGAAGGGAGTAGTTACACAACAATGCAATATCGTCCCCTCTCAGTTGATAGGTGAGTCACAGGTGGGCAGGAACAAATACCTAAGTGTTGTGGGCTAAGGAGTTGATTAGTGCTCATTGGGATGGGCAGGAACAGGAACTGGGCTTGAGGCTAAAAATGCCTAGACTAATTGAACTTGTCTACATCCAATATCCTGGCTAAATTAGGATGTGGGGGAAGTGGTTGAGGATGGAATTATCATTCCATTGCTGTTAGGACCCACCTTCAGGACAGAGGATAGGGGACACAGCCAAATTTCATTTGCCCACTGTCAATGGGTGCTGGCTATCACTGGCTGCACCCCGTAACAACTATTTATTTATATGTGTTGTTTAAAGTATATTTGCAGGGCCCGGCAGCATGGGGGGTCTAGTGGCTAAAGTCCTCACCTTGAACACACCCCAGGATCCCATATGGGTGCCGGTTCTAATCCCGGCAGCTCCACTTCCCATCCAGCTCCCTGCTTGTGGCCTAGGAAAGCAGTTGAGGACGGCCCAAAGCTTTGGGACCCTGCACCCGTGTGGGAGACCCGGAAGAGGTTCCTGGATCCTGGCTTCAGATCAGCATAGCATCGGCCGTTGTGCTCACTTGGGGAGTGAATCATCAGACAGAAGATCTTCCTCTCTGTCTCTCCTCCTCTCTGTATATCTGACTTTCCAATAAATAAATAAATCTTTATAAAAAAAAAGTTTATTTTCATATGTGTTGCCATGTTGTGTCAGAAAGAATTAAAACAGTGAAGGGACAGTTATTTCTCTTGCAAAGTAGTTTTGTTGGTGTCTTCATTTGTGGAGGATGCCTTGGGTGCCTGAAGATTTCTTCACCTGTAGGGCCCAGTGCAATGGCGCAATGGTTAAGGTCCTCACCTTGCACACCCGGGATCCCATAAGGGCGCCGGTTCTAATCCTGGCGGCCCTGCTTCCCATCTAGCTCCCTGCTAGTGGCCTGGGAAAGCAGTCCAGGATGGCCCAAAAGCTTTGGGACCCTGCACCCGCGTGAGAGACCTGGAAGAAGTTCCTGGCTCCTGGCTTCGGATCGGCATAGCATTGGCCGTTGTGCTCACTTGGGGAGTGAATCATCGGACAGAAGATCTTCCTCTCTGTCTCTTCTCTCTGTATATCTGCCTTTCCAATAAAAATAAAATAAATCTTTAAAAAAAAAAAGATTTCTTCACCTGTAGCTTAAGGACACCAGTAGGAAGTGAAGTGTATATTTGGCCTCATGAACCAGAACCCTGTGTTAATTGTGTTGGAAGGAAACTATTGGAATGGAATGGTTAATGATTGGACAGATTTTGTGGCTTTGTCAGTCCCCTCCAGACAAGGTGACAAGTGTCTTTGTTATGGCTCTTATCATTAGGCAGTACCTTGTTCTTACTTTTGCCCTAAAATGCCATTTATAGTATCTTCTTTCAATCATTCAAGATTTACAAATATAGGAAACAAAGTGAAATGTGATGAACTTCACATATGATATTCTGCATATAAATATTGATGACATATATTATTTGAGCCTTGAATGCTGAAAATCTCACATTAATATGTACCTTCTGAGCTCATTGCAATGGCTCAATTGGTCACTTCTCCCCTTGCAAACACCAGGATCTCATATAGGCACGTGTTTGTGTCCTGCCTACTCTACTTTCCATCCAGCTTGCTACTTAACAAAGTGGTGGAAGATGGCCTGGAGCTTTGCAACCCTGCATCCATCCACATGAGAGACCCAGAGGGGCTTTTGGCTCCTGGCTTCGGATCAGCTCAGCTCCAGCCATTTGCAGCCATCTAGGGAATGAACCAGTGGATGGAAGACTTTTTTCTCTGTCTCCTTTCTGTTGGTCTGCCTTCACAATACAAATAAATAAATCCTCTTAAATGTGTACTTTCTTAGCTGTAGATTATTAGCTGTTGAATCAGTCACAGGCTCTTTGAGGCCAGGAAGGCAAGGCATAACACCATAAAGAAACCTGTTTGGGCTGTTTGTTTAACGTCATGAAGCAGGAAGTCCAGAGAAAGGGTGGATTCATTAAATGGCTCCACAGTATCCTCAAGGACTTGATGTTTTCCACCTTTTCTCTTTGAAACTATACCACTTTGGCTTTTGTTTTCAGGTTTGTCATGTAATGGTTACAGGATAGTTACAGATCCAAGTGTTTCACCCAGATTTCAGCAGAGAAAGCATCTCATCCTTCTGTCGCCTCTTAAGATTAACGGGAAGCTTCCTTGCTTCACCTCTGACTACAGTCACAAGATATTTCCAGTTTTCAACCAGTCATGCCAATAGCCCAGCGTGATCATGCTTGGCTGATAGCAAGTCAGATTCAGTCTATTAAAACTGAGGAGGATTTCTGCCGCCCTGAGATGCATAGCCTCCACAAGCTGGGGTTCTGTTGATAAGGAAAAGCAAAGTATGGCACTCCCCTGTGCGGTAGACAACCATAGTGGTGCCAAAAAATGAGAACACCGGAATTACTAACACCAATTCAACTGCTAATAGCAATTCAGCTCTTCTCTCAACTCTCAGAGGAAATCCGTGGGAACACCAGTTTGAGAATGTAAACGACCAGTCTTATGAGCTAATGTTCTTCAGAAATTTGAGCAAATGTTAGCAGTGTGTAGCATGCATTCCAGGAAAAGCATCATATACCTGTCTGCTGTTTGTGAAGGCTGCTGTCTTAACCTCTCCAGCCCCATCTTCTCCCTCCTCCGACACATAGCCTGTAACATGCCTTATTCCATCTTGCCTGGCATGGGAACAATGTAGAGATCATCAAACAGTGTCTCTTCTTTCCTCGACATGCCTCTTATTAAATAATCATTTATTAAGTTATTTATTATTGTATTGTCTATTTATTTTTTGTTTTTTAATTATATAGTTTTATTAATTTTAAACATCGGTTAATCCCCTGACCCCAATGAGAAGAATACTAGCAATTCTTTTCCTTGTGCCTTCGCTCACTGGCAGGGGATATGGTGTGGAGAGAAATTGCAGTTTAAGGCTCAGGTTGACACAAGGGAGAAATAAGACCACGCCTTCTTTGCCTACCTTGCAGAGATGTTCTGAGGATGAAATGAGAGCTTCTTTGTGATTGTGCATTGCTAAGGTCATGCAAAGATAAGCTGGGGCCATTAGACCACACTGTGGAGGGGCTATTTTAGGCTGAATCAGAAATGGTATAGTAGATAGGATTTGCATAGTTGAGATGGAATAGAGAATATGTCATGGGAAAGGAACTAAGTTGAGTGAAGAACAAACAACAATGCAGGGCCTGTTTAAGAATCTTTGGGTATAACTTTGAGTGGGAGTGAGGAGATATGAGGAAGGGTGAGCAGTGGCTGAGAGGTGTCCAAATGCCCACTATGGAGTAGGCTGAACTAAGTCAGAGCCAGGAGCTAGACGTCAGCCCTCAGTCTAGCTCTCCCACATGGGTGGCAGTGATCCAGCTGTGTGAATCATCATCTCTGCCTCCCAGGGTCTGCACTAGCAGCAAACTGGTATT